GGAAAACAGATCATAAGAAGAGACCCTAGATGTGTTCGCCTCTGTAGGATGGAGATACCTCTCCAGATTTCCTTTGCAATCCTATAGGCCTGTCAGTTAACCCCAGGTCCTCTAGGCGCAGTGCCTCATCCAGTCATGCCGAGAACCCCAGTCCTGTGTGCAGGACTGCTTTCAGTTATGCCTAGAGCCCCAGGTCTCTTTGTCTAGGACTGCTTCCAGGTGTGCCTAGAACCCCAGGTCTCTTTGTGCAGGACTGCTTCCACTTGCTCTCATGGTGGTGTCTGTTTTTCAGCAGAGGCTTCTGAGCATAGCTTCAGAGCTGATGCAGTCCTCACAGTGGATGTGTTTATAGTTCATTATCTTCCGATTATAAATAATTCTGATGAAAATTTTAATGTGAATTTTTTTCCTCTTTCCAGTTAAGAATGTTCTCTGCAAGTAAATCTGACTTCTTACAAGGTGGCTGAGGGCTCACGAAGAGTTTTTTGTTTGGTTTTTGGTCAGTGTGAAGTGTTTGTGTTTGCACAGGAGGGAAGCAAATCTGTGTGCTCACTCATGTTTTTATGTTGCAATTTAAATTGATAAGGCCACTTAGCTTCTCACATAAACTAAGGCAGGAAGTACAAAAAGGGACAGAGAAAAATCTGCTTGTGTTTCGTAGAACTCACTTTTTGAGTTCCTTGTGTGAGGTGGGGTCCCTGAATGACATGCACCTTGAAAAGCCTTAACTCTCAGAGGCAAACAAGTTAGTTTTCAAGACTGTATTTTTTATGGCTGTCTTGTATTCCTAGGCTTGGGGTTTTTTTTGGTTTAATTATTGTGAGTGTCATCCAGACCTTGACTGCCTGGGCAACGACTGTCCTCCCAGTGTGGTGTTTGCAGAGGCCCTGCTTCCCTGAAGCTCCTACCTTCCTGGTGATGCTGAGTCACCTCCCTCTGTCACCAGGCTGACACAGAAGGAGGAGGTACTGTCCTCCCCAGGCCTGCCACTGCTGCTCTGGCTGTTTTAACCTACACAAGGGTTGACCCTTTAGGAGTCCTATCCCACAGCTAAGTACAGTGGTTTGGGGCCATACTTTAGCAGTCTGTACAGTAGTGTTAGGGAAAGGGGTTCTGTCTCCCACAGATGGACATGAGGCATGGAACAAAACATTTGACTTTTCACAATTTTAATTCCTCGTGTCTAGTGAAAAAAATGGAAGTCTCTTTACGTTTGTCGTTAAGATTAAACTGGTTGATAGGAAGTGCTCAGGATACTTTAGCAGTCTGTACAGTAGAATTGGGGAAAGGGGTTCTGTCTCTCACAGATGGACATGGGGCATGGAACAAAACATTTGACTTTTCACAATTTTACTTCCTCATTTCTAGTGAAGAAAATGGAAGTCTTTTTAAAGTTTATCAGGAATATTAAACTGGGTGATAGGAAGTGCTCAGAATGTCTGTCATACTCTGTTGGTTTGCAGAATTCTCCTTCATGGGCTGTCGGAGGCTTCCTCTTCAGAAAAACTTCCCGAAATTCCTGGAGTTAATTCTTCACTCCTCTTTGTCTCTTTCTTTTCTGTGTTGGTATTTGACTTCATCTATTCAAGACTCTGTGCCAGGTAGTACTGTAGCTGGTGATACCAAAGATCAAGTATGACAGTTGGAGTACTTCCTCCTGTGTAGCGTCATCCCCACTGCCCCCTCAGAAGGGAGAAGGTAAACTCTCCCATGGAGAGTCCAGAAGCTTTGTTCCTGTGACCGACCCCCTCCATAGGGGACACCTAATACTGTAAGAAGTTAGGATTTATAGGGGAGACTTTGGGAACATTCAGGCAAGCATCAGCCTGTACCCTGGCTTCTGCATGTTTAACAACAGTTACCAGCCACATGGTGTTATCCTTGGTACTTGGTCAGCATTCCTACTGGATGAGGCACTGGAGCATCAGAAGAGGACAATGCAGTCCCATGGGGCTGGCATTGGATTAGCCATCTGCTCCATGGAGTTACTTGGATGTTTGCGCCCTGTTCCTTGCCTTAAACATCAAGCCTCTTCAGGTTGTTGCCCACCCCCATACCCTAGTTCCAGGCATTTGGGACAGCTGTTGGGCTGGAATGAAGATACAGAATGGTGGCTCCCAGGTACCCCCTCAACCCCAACACGCTCACTTCATATAGTGCACCCTCGTCAGAAAGCAGCCCGAAAGTGATTGAGAGAAACAAGCCCTGCCATTTGAAAGTCAGTGATTAAAATATTTAAAAGCTGTTTTGGGAGTAAATGAAAAGGGCTGGAGGAAACTCAGAATCTCTCTAATTTGCTTCTGGAGTCTGGGAAGAAGCGGTCTTTCCAGTTCTGGGGGGTAGTGAAGTTTTACTGAATAGTGAATTACCATATCAATAGGTGCTTTCTAAGCAGTCG